TTGATCGGACAATGCCAAGCACTAATAAGGTATTGTGCCAAAAGGGGATAGATCTACATTAGCAGCAGAGTTCAGTTCTGCATCTAATAAAATTTAAGTTTTTAAAGCTTAGGAAAAATGCACTTTGTTTGGCAACGGTAAATTGTATACATTGCAGGGACTCTCCAGTGCCAGGAAAACAAATCAGTTTTCCTGGCACTGGATGACCCTGCAGTGCCCCCTTCCTCCCACTCCCATGTTGCTGAAGGGGTTAAAACCCTTTCAGTGACTTACCTGAATATAGTGCCGATGTCCCTCGGCGCTGGGTCAGGTTCCGCCCACGCTCCTCCCCTGTCGACGTCAGCCGGCGCAGGAGACCTAATGCGCTGCAATGGCCGCGCGCGTGCATTAGATGTTCCAATAGGAAAGCATTATTCAGTGCTTTTGTATAGGGATTCCGGTGACACTGTAGGTCCTCATGCATAGCGCGAGGACGTCCAGGGTCGTTTACAACACTTTTCGTGTTTTAAGAACACAGAAGTCTCTCTAGTGGCTGTCTGATAGACAGCCACTGGAGGAGAACTTAACCCTGCAAGGTAATTATTGCAGTTTACAAAAACTGCAATAATTACACTTGCAGGATTAAGGGTGATGGGAATTGGCACCCAGACCACTCCAATGGGCAGAAGTGGTCTGGGTGCCTGGAGTGTCCCTTTAACAAAATATGCACTTTTAGATATAGAATTTCCCTTTGCATGAACCCTAGCCTTAAAAAAATAAAAATAAAATCATGTGCTCTAAAAGATGCCTACGGCTGAACAATGTATTATGGAGAAATAATGCCATCTTGGGGTTCTGGAGACCTCATAATAAACCAAATCAAAGTGATTTATGAATGTCTCCAAAATATTATTGCAGTGGTATCTATCTTTTTATATTACATTTTTTATTTGGGTTAGCACTATCTCTCTTAAATATCGTCTACAGTGATCAGCCACAACATTAAAATTCAGAGGTGAAGTGAATAACATATTATGTGATTATATTGTGACAATACCACTGGTCAAGGGGTTTTTAGGTAGCAAGTGAACATGGGCTAGTGAAAACATCTGAGTGACTGACAGGGACCAAATAGTGATGACTAGATGACTGGGTCAGAGCATCTCCAAAATGGCAAGTCGTGTGGTCTGTTCCCAGTATGCAGTGGTTAATAACCTCCAAAAGTGGTTCAAGGAAGGACAACTGGTGAACCAGCATCAAGGTCATGGGTACCCAAGGCTCATTGATAGGCAAAGGATAGGCCATCTGGTCTGATCACACAGAAGAGCTACTGTAGCCCAGATTGCTGGAAATCCTAATGCTGGCCATGATATAAAGGTGTCAGAACACAGTGCATCACAGTTTGCTGTGTATGGGGCTGTAGAGCTGTAGACCAGTCAGAGTGCTCATAATGACCCCTGCACACTACCGAAAGCGCTTTTAATTGGGACATGAGCATCAGTACTGGACCATGGAGCACTGTAAGAAAACTTTACATTTGTCCGATGAATCACATTTTCTTTTAGATCAGGAAGATGGCCAGGTTCATGTGTGTCGTTTACCTGGAGTAGAGATAACAGCAGAATGCACTGGAAGAAGGCATACTGGTTTAGGCACTGTTATGCTCTAGGCAATGTTCTGCTAGGAAACCTTGGGTCCTGGCATTTATGTGGATGTTACTGTGACTCATACCAGCTACTTAAAGATTGTTGCAGACCACGTACACCCTTTTATGGCAATGGTGTTCGCTGATGACAGTGACCCCTTTCAGCAGGACAATGCACCCTGCCGCACTGGAAACATTTGTTCAGGAATGGTTTGAGGAACATGACAAAGAATTCAAGGTGTTTCCTTGGCCTCAAAATCCTCCAGTTCTCGATTCTATTGAGCATCTGTGGGATATGCTAATTCTGATCCACTGAGCCCCACTTTGCAAATTGCTGGACTTAGAGGATCTGCTGCTCATGTCTTGGTGCCTGATATCACAGGACATGTTCAGTGGTCTTGTGAAGTCCATACCTCGATGCATCAGAGCTGTTCTGGCAGCATGAGGGGAACCTACGCAATATTAGGTAGGTGGTTTTAATGTGGTGGAAGGTCAGTGCTGATAATTTAGAACTACATTAAAAATTCCTGAATGTCTTTAATGTAATACAAATACACTCAGCATTGTACTTTTTGTTTAGAGAAAAGCCCTGCTAATAGGACATGTAGCATTTAATGAATCTGCATTTACTCGGTCTAATTATGTTTTTTTATCTTTAATTTCAGGTGCGAATTCATAAATCTGGTCAAGTGACAGCTGTTCCTTTTTGGTACCATCTCTATCTTGATGAGGAGATTAGCATAGATACATCCAGTGAAAGTTCACATTGGAAGCAAGCCGCGTTTGTTTTAGACACCCCACTCCAAGTTGAAGTGGGAGAAGAACTTTTACTAAATGTGCACTTCCAAAATAGTAATGTCAGTATGACCTTAAAGAAACTTCAGTAATGTGCACAAAGATGCAGCCCTGCTTAGATAAAGATATTGTACCAGGCATCTCAAATTCTGGCCCCCCAAATATTGCTGAACTACAATTCCCTTGATCTTCTAGCAATCTATTGCATTCAATGAATTCCGGTAATCAAATTGTAGATTATCAATATCTGGGGGAAGGGCAGAGTTTCAGATCTCTACTATACACATGTATCAGTCTTGTTGCTGTTTGTATTGTATGTTTTAATGTATTGTATTTAAGTAAAAAAAATAATAGAATTTTTTTTTTTTCAAGGGAATTTCACAGAAATCATACTCCTTGTTCTCAGCACCTGACAATCATTAGACGTGTCATAATAATCTTGTATTCTACCTACTACTCCCTGAGTCTGTTACGGTTTGGATACTAGACAAAAACAAATCACACTGGTACTTTTGTTACAATTAACAATTGTTTTTTGTTTTGTTTTTTCTTCTTCAGTACACAACTGGGAGGTTAGAAAATCCAGACCTATGTGATAGAATGGATCATAAGTAATAAGTACGTGAATTCAGTGGTTCAATGTAAATCCAATAGTTAGACCCTTTTTTTTTTTTTCTATTTACTAGGCAAACAAGTGAAGAAACCCTTATAAAGATGTAGTTTCTTGACTGTGTAAACATTTTAACCAATGTTAAAACTGCGTTTAAATTCCATAACCACTACATCCTATGCATTACCTCTGTTAGGAATTTATGTTTGTAGGAATACATCATAGACTGTTCCTTTAAACTTAAGGGAACACTTTAGTGTTGGGAATACAAAGATGTATCCGTAAAACTAACATGTTCCTCTGCCTTGGGTTGCAGTCCACCTCCTCCAGTGTCATCCGATGGGGAGGACCTAATGCCCATGCGCAGCAAGCACCAAGCGTGCATTAGATTTTCCCCATAGGAAAACATTGCCTTGATGCTTTCTTATGGGGTTTTTCTCTGATGCTAGACGTCCTCGAGCAGAGGCAGCTCTCTAGTAAAAGCAGACTGTGTCGGGTCCTCAGTCAGTGTCAGAGGACCCGACACCAGGAGGTGTACTGTGCTGCAATCTGCAGAGCTGCAGACCATGTGTGGCCATTTAGAGTGTTACCGCGGAGCTGCAGATGGGATATTATGGCCACCGAACCACCAGGGAGCTTAAAAAGATATTTAATCCCTTACCATCAACCCCCCCCCCCACTCTCTCCCTCACGTCATCATCACCCTAATACCGCCATTCCATCAGTACCCCACTCCCTCACACCATCGTCACCACCTCCCTCACACCATCACCCCCTCCCTCAGACATTCATCATGCCCTTCCCTCACACCATTACCCCCCCTTCCTCACACCATTGCCCCCCTTTCTCACACCATCACCCCACTTAATCACACCACCACCCCTACTGTGGTATTACCCACCTCTCTCACCATCACTCCCTTCCTCACACCATCACACCCCCCTCACATACACACACACACACACACACACACACAGTCACTATCCTTCATACATGCTGTCACCCCCTCACACACAGTCAAGCACCCCACGCAGTGTCACCTCCCACAATGTAGTGTCACCAAGCTCACAGTGCCAGCCCCCTCACACTACCAGCCAGATAGCTCACAATGCAGGGGCACAGGAAACCACGACACTGCAATCTTCTAAACAATGAATGCAGAGACTAACTCACGGTATCCATATTGCAAGCCCACCTTTCAATATAGCGAGTGCTTCTTATACCCACACAAGATGCAATCCTATTTTTTTCACTTTGGGTGTTAGTGGGGCCTTAGGTTTGAGTTTCACCTAAGGCCTCGTAAAGTCTATAGCCTCCCCTGGCGCAGAGCGTTTCTCCAAAACTGCAGTGTTGTAATGTCAGGGCTAATGGGGACTGGGAAAGTATACCCAGTCCACTTCAATGAGATGAAGCCTATACTGTCCCTTTAACCATTCAAGGATGAAGGAAATTGTATAATTTCTGACCAAAACAAAACCTAGAATTTAAATTGAAAATTACCCAGGGTATTCCATTTGCAAACGTAGACAGCCTACGCTGTTCTAAATGGTGTATGTCCAGTATTTTTTTTAGTCATAAACCCTGGCCAAAGTTAGTGTTCATATATATATATTTTTTTTTTTTCACACAAAAAATACACTTTCACTGAATATATCGTTACTGTACATTTTATAGCTCTAAAACAATCATATTTGTGTTCAGCACAAATTGGTATCCAGCATTGGTATCCCCATGTACAGGGGTTTTGGAAAGTTACATGGTCAAATATAGGGCTTGCGAATTAACATCTCTTGTGTTTCTGCCTCGGTTGTCAGGAACGTCCCCCAGTATATAATATATATTTTCATTCTAAGTGTATTTTGATATAATTTGACTCCATTTTTTAAATTATTTTTTTTAAGTATTTATGTATAATTTTTTTTTTTTTTTTTTTTTAATAATTATAAGTTGGGGGATCTGCCTGACAACCCTGTGAATCTGCCAATTAAGCTGCTCTGAGTCATGTGATCGCTGTGTCATCCCATGATGTGGATGGGTGGGATTTGCACGTCTTGTCGTTAACGGCTTAATTGTTATCCATTGGGAGTGGCTGGAGGAACTTAATCATTATGTTTGTGCTGCTGTGACCATGGCTGGAAAATATAAATAATGGCAAGTAGCAAGGGAGGCAGCATAATCATTAAGATTCAATAGACCTAAAGTAAGGAAAATTTGAAAGAAAAAAAATAATCACTGTGCTGCTTTATGTATTGTTTTAGTTTGTTTTCAGGGTTAATTACTAAAGTTAGAATTTTCAGGAATTCAAAGAGTGCATCATTTACCTGGGGAAGAAATGACAGGCAGGCTCCCATTTTTGTGGATGCTACTTCGACACATACCACCTACCTAAGGATTGTTGCAGACCACATACACACCTTCATGGCAATGGATGAAGCAAGGGCCTCTTTCAGCAGGACCATGCACCCTGTCACACTGCAAAAATTGTTCAGGAATAGTTTGAGGAACATGACAAAGAGTTCAGGGTGTTGCCATGGCCTCCAAATGTGCCATATCACAATCCTATTGAGTATGTGTGGGATGTGCTGATCGTGTTTTGGTGCCAGATACCACAGGACACATCCAGAGGTCTTGTGGAGTCCATGCATCGATGGATCAGAGCTATTTTGGCAGCATGACGGGGACCACCATTATATAAGCCAGGACGTTTCAATGTTGTGGCAGATTAGTGTATAAATAATAGAAATGTTGATATTCCTGTAGTTATGTGATATATAATGAATTTAATGCATTTGGGGAGAATTTATGTTAAAGTGAACATTAAATGGTAGAGACTTGGGAACAATTATAGATCACAAACTAGGCAACAGTATGCAATGTTGGTTGGCTTTTGCAAAAGCAAGTCAAAGCAAGTTCTGATTCACATGACTTAAATATAATTTTGCACTGAATAGGGGGTGCAATTTTGGCACCAATTTTAAAGAAGGATATTGCAGAACTAGAAAAAGTGAGCTACAAAACTAGTAAGGGAGATGGAAAACATTTGTTACATGGAAAGGCTAGAAAAAAATAGATTTGTTTCATATATATATATATATATACAAAAAAGCATCTTAGAGGGTATATGGTAGTACTATACAAATCTATACATGTTCAGTATAAACCGCGATGTACTAAGCTGTTCATTAGCAGGTATAAACAACATACAAGAGGCCACCCATTGAGATTGGAAGAAAGGCGGTTTCGCTTACAGCAGAGGAAAAAGTTAATACATGTAAGAACAATACAGATGTGGCATTCTCTGGTTAAAGAGGTAGTGTTATCAGATTCTATAGGTAATTTTTTAAAAAGACGCTGATGCCTTTTTTGCATAAACAAAATATTCAAGGATATAATTGATATGTATGTAAACAGGTTTGTAGTGGAGGACTTTCTTCCTTGAATTGTTATTGTACTGGAACAAGGTGCTGAAACGTGAATATGTCTCTCCGCACCTAGTAACTGTACGACACAGTGCTGAGAGTACAACAAACTTTTATTCAGGGACAAGTTCTTTTATAGCCAGACCCCCAGCATGGGGTCTCCATACAGTGACATACAATCCCTGCCCAGGCGTCTGTGTCTTGGAGATAATTGAGTCAAAGACCAGTAAATTGATTATCTCCCAGATACAGAGGACCAAATATAAAAACACGAAAGTACCCAAAAGCACAGTAAAATTATACAGGAACCCCACATGTCTTATATCACCAAATAGCCTTGACCAGAGCGCCCAAGTTGTCCAAATAGGGCTCAGATACATGCAGTGTAGGGGAATCTGCATCGGGGCAAAGTTCTGACTGGGCGCACACGTGGGTAATGCCCAAAATAGTTCCAGGAGAGATGGGTTTCGGCCGGTCAGCTTTCAGGAGTTCCTGTGGGTGAAGAAATGGGTGCTTTCACTGGCTCTTAGGGAGTGATGGTTCCCCCAGTCCATAATAACTTCCCTGCTATTAGCGCTCTCCTAGCATGTCTACAGGTGATACTCGAAAAATTACAATATCGTGCAAAAGTTAATTTATTTCAGTAATGCAACGTAAAAGGGGAAACTAATATATGAGATAGACGCATTACACGCAAAGCAATATAGTTCAAGCCGTGATTTGTCATAATCGCACTTATGACAAATCACGGCTTGAACTATCTTGGTTTGCATGTAATGCGTCTATCTCATATATTAGTTTCCGCTTTTACGTTGCATTACTGAAATAAATTAACTTTTGCACAATATTCTAATTTTTCGAGTATCATGTGTATAAGTGGGTCAAAACAACGAGACAATTTCCCTGGGAACCCAGTGTTCGAGTGGCTGAAATTAGTTCCACAGAGTTGATGACCAAGTACCGTTGTCAGCATTCGGGAGACAAAATGGCCCACTGCACTAGATGTCATTCGGGACAGGGAAAATTTAGTCAGGGGAGTGTTCGACAAACGAAAAGTGTGTAATCTTTGCCTTTGCCATACCTCCAGTGGGAAATGGACTGTGGATGGCCAGGGACCCTCTTTCAATGTTACATTTATCAAAATAATGGTTTTAAAGTGAATGGAGGGATATTACCAGGGGCCTTCAGGAATTATAACAAATGTTAACCAGCTTGTCAAAAGCCAGCTTGTAAAGGATCAAATTCATCTGCTAGACCTTACTGATATAATGCCAGTATATTTGCTAAAAATGCACACACCCTGCAGTTATACATTACTGGAAGTTTTAATGTGTTTTTTTTTTTTATCATTCCCACATATCAGAAAGGGGGAAGGGATAAACTGAGTCTACCATTTCACTGTAGGCATTACCTTAGCAGTCCATAGCAGGATAGAGATTGCTATAGCAGTTTTAAATACCTTTATTTTAGAAATATGATTGAAATGTATTTACTGTATATAAGAATTATGCACAAATGCAGACCTTTTTACATTCTGTTGCCATTTTGAGTAAGCTGTACTGCTAGTAATGCCTTCAGTGTCTTTGCAAATACTTATAAGCAAGGTATTTGACCACTTTTATTTCTTTTTTTGTCACATCTACTATATATGAGACAAAAATTTTTTCCTTTTCATACTAACATTTTAAACTCTGTGAAATATTGCAAGACGAAGTACACTGTATACTGTCTAACGCTCTTCGTTTCCCAAATATTTTTATTTAAAAAATGGATAAGTGAAAAATAAAAATTGTGTACATTTACATACTTTACATTTTAAAGCTTGCATAGCAACACAATAGCTGTGTTTTTATGTATATGACCAGCTGTGCAGCCATTGCTTCAAATAAATGTTATATTATATTTAGTTTTCAATCAAAAAGTGCTCGGTAGTGAAGGGGATAAAGGACTGCCCAAGCACAAAAACACTCAATGGTAACGAATCGTTTTTGGTGAAAAAGACCCAGACATTTCTTTTTGTGCCACTCGAGGCATATCCTCGCTGAATAATTTCAGTTATTTACGGTCTTCATGTTCTGTGTACTAAGCACCTATGAGGATGAGCCTAATAGAGGAGGAATGGCTGCCAGGAGGATGCAGCCTAATGCTTTATTAAAGACCATTATTGGAACCAGATTCGTTGTGAAAAAAATGTTTTCAAAACAAGGAATCTCAGAAACTTGAAAGGATCTATTGGTATCTGATGAGTCCTACAAATGTTAACCAACCATCCTTATAACTTTCTTGAAATATTGTTGTAAAAGACTCCATCTTGAATTACATTCTTTCCTAGGAATAGGTTTATTCTTTTCAGGTTTATAATTAATCTCCAATGGCTTTGGGGCCTAAGACACAAGGAGGGATGTCTTGTGGCAAAAGCTATAACTGTGGATAGCAGACAATAATGTAACTTTTATTAATACTTTATATATAAAAGGTTGTCATTTTAAATCAATCCCAAGTCACATTAGTACAAACTCGGTTCTAAATGTCTGAAAAAAGGACCGGACTGCTGGTCTAAAATCAATATAAGAAAAAGAAAAAATCCACAACTAGTATTCTAAGACAAGGGTAAGCATAAACACCTACTATGCATTCCTGATGAGCTCTGTGTCCTGACAGAACGAAACACGTTCCTTGCTACTTTGTTATTCTATTCCTATCTGAGGGTACTAAGCTAACAAGTTACATCAGCTTAGCTTCTGGAATTCATAAAACATTTTAGGGAATTGGCCGTCTTGTGCCCTTTCCTTCTCTAAACCTTTTTTTTTTTGACAGACTATACACGCCACCCTGTGGCAAATAGCGCTATTGCAACATCTATAGGAAGAGGTAGCTTAATAATGCTCTATACTAGGGGTAGGCAACCTTTGGCACTTCAGATGTTGTGGACTACATGTCCCTGAATGCTCTTACAGCCATAATACTAGCAAAGTATCAGAGGAGATGTAGTCCACAACATTTTGAGGGCCAAAGGTTGCCTACCCTTGGCTCTATACTAATTATAGTTAGTGGGACAGTCTGGGGTACCAGGAATCCCCATGGTGGATGATCAATTTACAGATTTCTGATAGACATTTGAGCAGGTGCCTATACTTACATTTTTATTTGAATGCTAGTTGTGGAGTTTTTCTCTTATATAGATTTTATACAAGCAGCCTGATGCATTTTTTCAGACATTTTGAAGCTTGTATTACTGTAGCACTGGGGATTTATCTTTTATGAATACTTTATATAAAAATAAAGTTTTATTGTCTACTCTCCACTTGCTCTTTCACTTATGTTGTGGATTTTTGTGAACTGTAATTTCGTGTTTAGATCTTGAGCCAAACGTGTCCTTTTATTATCTGATCTTTTTGGATCTTATTTTAATTTTAGTTTGTAATCATCTCTGAAGATTGAAATAGTTCATATATCTAAATATTGGTGGACCAGAATAGGTGGAAAAATGTCCAGTGACCTCACTCTATTATACAGTTACATAGGCTGAAAAGAGATGTGTTAATCAAATTCAGCCTTCCTCACATGTTTTTTTGCTGTTCATCTAAAAGATGGCTTAAAAACCCCAGTCTGAAGCAATTTTTGCAACAAACTAGAAAACAAAAATCCTTCTTGACCCCAGAATGGCAGTCAGATTTATCCTTGGATCAAGGAGCTATTGCCCTACAGTTGAAAAATTATATAATTAATTATGTTTTTTGCAAGTATGCATCTAGTTGCTTTTTAAAGCGGCACTGTCATGCCGAATTCTGTTTTTTTTTTAACCCCCCTTCCGCCTCCACTACATCCAATTGACCCACTAGTCACCCCTAAATGCCCCTAAGCCCCCCACATTACCTATTTTTAAATCCTTATTTTCTGCCCCGATCTATATTCAGGGCGCAGCCATCTTTGTGTGGGTAGGTGAAGTCCCTCAGGGACACGTCATCAGCCCACACTAGGCAGACTGTGAGATTCCCGCACATGCCCAGTGAAACACCTGGACATGCGAACGGGAATTTCATCTATTCATTCATCCATCAGACAGGCGAATGAGTGAATAGAAATATCAGCCGAACAAACAAACACAATGTATCAGTGTTTGTTTGTTCGTTTAGTTTATTACAAGGAGGGAGCTACCGGCATGCAGCTCCCTCCTTGTAATATGTAACGATAGAAGCGGCAGGGAGCAGTGCTCCCCACCACTTCATAAGCCCCCCAGGCCCCCCTCACTCTATGGGGGTCAATATGACCCCCATAATAGCACAAGGGAGATTAAAATCTCCCAAATGCCCCTACTCTCTATACCGCGAGTAGGGGCATGTCCACTAAACAGTGACCAGCCTGTGGCTGCTCACTGTAAAAAAAACAACAACAA